GCAGCACGGGAGGGAGAATTACACCCAGGAGCAAATGGATAAAAATAGACCGGAGGGAAAAAAAACATGAATCGATTCTCTTGGGGACGTATCCATGCATCGGATCGTCGGCTGTTGGATCGATGCATCGATACAAAACGATAATTATTTACACCCCTAGGTAGCAGTACAGATTTATTCCACCACCTAAAAAGTAATCCGCAGCAAAACGAATGTGGTAATCCCCACATGTCAGCGTCTCCCCGTACACCAATTAAAACGTTAAATAAATCAGCTCTGAAGCAGATGTGCCTCGTCATTTGAAAAAGCAATCCCATAAGAGAGAAAGTAAAACTTTATGCACTCTATTGTTTTTGAAGGTAATTTAAACATATCATGATATATATCGTGTATCAACATTATAGCCCAAATATTTTGCCTTATTAGATTTTCTTATATCGCCCAGCCCTACAGGTACCTTAAAGATCTTTTTTAGTTTTCCTTTTTAAAAGTATTTTAAGACGCTAAAACTTTCAGCTTTCCTGTGAGGACGGTTCTGACCAAGAGAAAAAGGAAAAGGCTTCCACTGATAGATCTAGTGTCTGTCAGCTCACCCTGCGGCTTGAGCACATCAACGTCGGACTCCAGCAAACAGACGTGAAGGCTCATTGGGGCGTCTTTATCATCAACCTTTTTATGATCCGGACTTTTTTTTCTGGAACAAAGAAGGACGAGAGTCAATGGTTAGAGGATGAAACAGCAAGTGGAATCAATCCGACTATAAAGGAGCCAAGAAGCGGTGGTTTTTTGACGCTGTGGCGGGGGGAGCTACATACCGTAAGGAAGGACGAGCATCATCCGGATTGCTCCGTTTTCTGACCTGGATGTCCTCTGGAGGCTGAAAGGAAAACAGCTTTTCAGCAAAACATCAGATAAAAAGAGACTTTCTAGACGATTTCTGTAGAATGGGATCGGACCTTTAGCCGGATGAAGAGGGCCGACTCCCCGGCCTCTCTTGTGATCTGTTCAGGCGTGAATATGTTGACATAGAGAGGTAGGAGCTTCCTGTCAGGGTTGCTTTTGAAGGTCTCAAAGTAAGTCTTGGAGGCCAGCATAGGGAAGGTGGACCTCAGCAGCTTCAGGAAGTCTCCACAGCTCATTCCAGGAGGACACCGGAGGTTATGGAGCTGATACTTATCCAACACTGAAACAGCATTATTCAAAATATTAGGGGGGGAAAAAGGAGTATTTTAAAAACAGAGAAAAACAAAACGCCTGTTTGTTTTAAGTGAATGAATCTGCAGTGGACAGAAAGACAAAAAAAGGCCCAACAAAGACCTTAGTGTCCTCTGGACCTGCTGAGGACTTTAAATTTTGTTCCATTATTTTTGAAATGACAGAATACGTTTTAAAATGGATTTAGACAAATGTAAGGAAGAGGATTAGGGCCACTGAAATAAAAAAAAAGAAAAGAAAAAAAAGTTAACAGATTTTTAAATTTTATTTCAGTTTAATATGGGAAAAAAGTCAGAATTCTGACTTTTTCTCAGAATTCTGATTTTGATCTCAGAATTCTGACTTTAATCTCAGAATTCTGACTTTTTCCCCATGTTAAACCGAAATAAAATTAAAAAATCAGTTAACTTTTTTTTTTCCCAGTGGCCCTAATCCTCTTCCGTACAAATGCAACCTAAATTTGAAACTAATTTAGTTTTTTGTTTTTGAAAACAAATAAATATTTTTATATTTTATGTATATTGTACCTTTTTAGTTAATTAATTTTAATTTAATTCAAATTTTTTGTTTTTTTCAAATTTAATACATATATACATATATATACATATTTAAGAAGTGAAATTGTATTTCAGATATATATTTATCTTTTTATAGATTGAGTTTTACAAATGGAATCTTTGCAAATTTTGTTTTTGCGTCACAATGCTCTGAACTTCCATATCAATGTGTGTTTTCGCACCATGTTTTTTCTCCCACACTGTTTACATTTGATCCTTGCTGCTGTTTGAGGAATGGAGATGTTCTGAGAGCTTTACAAAATTAAATTTCGTTTTGTATACCCTCTGGGTATACAAAATTGCAATAAATGTCGTTTAGGTCTAAGTCTTCACAGATCACATTCTCTTCATTTTAAGCCCAGTACCAATGCTGGCACTGAACCAATCAAACTGTTGCTAACGTCCACCAGAAAAATAGAGATGCGTCTCTTAATTCCCCAGAAGTGAAGAGAATGTAATCTTGAAAATGTGATTTGGAATAAATGCAATTTGTAAAACTCAGTCCTACAAAATCCTAAAATTACAATTTAGAAATAAAGCAAAAAAAAAAAAAAAAGTTCCTAAGAGACCCTGTTCTTAACCAAGACGTTTTGCAAAGTTTCATTTCAGGATTGGATTTATTTTTTCTTTATTCCCATTTACTTAACATGAGCTTAACTTGGTAAATATTGTGCCCCTTCAATTTGAAATTTGCTTTTTGTAAAATTGTGATAATACTGCAGATGCGATCTAGCGCCGCACTCTAAAAAACGTCACTTTAAAAAGGGGGACTATTTTAAAATGAAGTCCTAAAAGATTCATTTATTTTCTGAATCACTCCTCTATAGCCGCTTTCCTACTGAAAATCCGGGTTTTTCAGAACCGGGTTTATCCGCTAAAATTCGGTTTTGTCCCCCTTGACTGTCGCCCTCACCACTGTGTGTCTGGTGATGGCATCATCCTGGGTGAGTGTTGATTATGTTGACAATGAGGTGGAAATCAGGGATGTAAACAATGAAGAGCAACATGGGATGAAAGACAGAGCGTAGTAAGTCTGCTTTATTGATTCGCTCTATTATCCATCCTAATCCCTCCATCCAGAGCTGCTCCATGTTTATCGAATTTAAACAGAGTTGTTTCAGCTTGTTAGATCAGAAACATCTGGCGCGGTGTGTCGAAGTCCGTATGTTTCATTCAAGGGTATCACCTAATTTGGCGGGTCTGTGGTGTTCCCACCGCATGCCAATCAGTGCCGAGACAATTTTAACGCAGGTCGCTTTCCGAGTTGTTTGACCTGGGTAGAAAAAAACAAACACTGAGCTGTTCCCACTGCCACTAAAAGCCGATTGTTCCTGGTGTTCTGTCAGATGAGCATACCCAGTCAGACCAGCATACATATGGTCAATTCCTTTAGTTTTACAGGGTTCCTACAGCATAAGGAAAGTTAAATTCAAGAATTTTTAAGACTTTTTAATGCCACTTGAAATAAAAAATTTAGGACCAAATTCACAAGAAAAACCTGCTTGCATCAACTTAACCCAAAGGTTTATTTTAACATAAACCACTGCACTAATGTTTCAAATTTTGAAAAGCTTCCCATACAGGAAGAAAGCTAAAAACACACAAATGACAGATATATTTTAACAATTATTTAAAGGTACA